ACTATTTTGTACCCATAAATTAATTAATGGATCTAGGCTAGGCATTGTGTATCAGCTGCTGTTAACATCACCCCTACAGCACACACACAAAATGATAATGCGACATTGTGTGTCTTTTGATGAAAGAACATGCCACCACCTGGAGTTGCCAAAAAATCAAAACCTGAATTCATCAAGCCTCTGGATCCAGCTATCAATATACTAGAAACACAGAGGACAGAAGGACACACTGAACTGCATCATCAGTGTGCAGTCCGCAAAATCCAGACTGGGCAACATCGACTGTTCGAATGCCCTGGGTTCCTCAACATATAAATTAAAAGAGGGAAAAAAGGGATGGAGGAAGAATCTTTGGATTAAAAGAGATTTAAAAGATATATCAAATAAGAAAGTGGGTAAGTGCACACCCATGTTCATAGCAGCACTATTCACAATAGCCAAGAGGTGGCAACCACTCAAATGTCCATCGACGGACGAATGAATAAACAAAATGTTGCACAGACGTATAATGGAATGTTATTCAGCCTTAAAAAGGAAAGAAATTTTGACACACACTACAACATGGATGAACCTTGAGGACACTATACTAAATGAAATAAGCCAGTCACAAAAGGACAAACACTATGATTCCTCTTGTATGAGGTACCCAGAGCAGTCAAATTCAGAGAAAGAAGGTAGAATGGAAGTTACCAGGGCGGGGGAGGGGGGGGGACTTTTTGTTAAGCGGGTGCAGGGTTTCAGTTTTGCAAGATAAAAAATTCTAGAGATTTGTTGCACAACAATGTGAATATACTTAACACTGGTGAACTGTATACCTAAAGATGGTTAAGATGGTGAATTTTATGTTGTTTTTTACTACAATTAAATTTTTTAATTTAGTTTCCAAAAATTTTGAAATTTTTTGGGCTTCCCTGGTGGCGCAGTGGTTAAGAATCCGCCTGCCAATGTAGGGGACATGGGTTCAAGCCCTGGTCTGGGAAGATCCCACATGCCGCAGAGCAACTGTGCCCCTGTGCCACAACTACTGAGCCTGCGCTCTAGAGCCTGTGAGCCACAACTACTGAAGCCTGCGTGCCTAGAGCCCATGCTCTGCAACAAGAGAAGTCACCACAATGAGAAGCCAGTGCACCGCAATGATGAGTAGCTCCCGCTCGCCACAACTAGAGAAAGCCCAGGCGCAGCAGCAAAGACCCAATGCAGCCAAATATAAATTTTTTAAAAAAGAATTTTTTTAAATTTTTTACTACAATTAAATTTTTAAACTTAATTTTCTTTAATCTGCCATTTAACTTTAATGGCAGATTAAAGAAGGTGCCTATGGTTGATTATATTATATAGAAATGCAAGGAAGTAATTACCATAAAAGTTGGGAAGAGAGCTATTGAGGGGAGAGGAAAGGAGTTGCATACTGGGACAGGACATGAAGAGGCTTCTGGAGCCCTTGACCTAGGTGCTAATTGACCAGAGTGGTCACCTGATAATATTTCATTATGCTATATATACATTTGTCTCCTGCAGCTTTCTGTATCTGTTTTGAATACAATTAAAAAGCAAGACAAAAACACTGAAATGCCGTCCTGACTGTCAGCATATTCTGGTCAAGCAACCCTTTCATCTGAATTAACAGAGGAGAGTTCGGAAGTGAGGTGGCCGGAAGCTGGGCCTGCCTCACCTCTCCCTCTTGGAGTCCTTTTGCAAAGCCCCGTGCTGCCACGCTCCTCCCTGCCTTTGAAGCCCAGGTTCTGCACACAGCCCGCCCACAGGGACATGCTCACAGAGCTACAACAGCTGAGCTCTGCCTGGGGTCACAGAGGGAAACAGGACTGGGCAACATGACAGCCAGGTTCCCACTCACATGAGTGCAGATAATAAGCCTTTGTTGTCAGCTGTCAAATTTCATCTTCTGGTTCCCAAATTCTCTAATGTGAATTCTGCTAAAATCCTTGTGTCACCGTAATGTGCCATCACAGGGTCAGGATGGCAACAGCTTTCTGTCAGTCTACGCAATGGGTGTCCCAGCGCAGAGTCCCTGCCAAGCAACAGCGTGCCCGGGAGGCTGCTTGGGGGTTGTGGTTAAGAGTACAGCTCTGGTTCAGGCTGCCTGGCTTCAAATCTGGGCTCTGCCCCCTGACCTGGGGTAACAGCTGATGGTCTCGGGGTCTCTGTCTCCCCACATGTAAAGGGAGGCTTGTAAGTATTTATTTCCTAGGGTTATTATGGGGCCTCAAGCTGAAATTTGTCAAGTCTTCAAAAAGAAAGCCTGCCTCAGGGTAGGGAATCGGTACTTATTATTATTATTGTTATTATTCCATTTAAAGGATGCAGCCCCAGGCTCACAATACCAGAGAGGGAAAACAGAGAGGAGAGAAAGTTCTCCCCCAAACTTTCCTTACGTCCTGGGGGTGGGAGAGCTTGTGAAGTTTTGCTGCCTCCATACCTGTCCATCTGACTGCTTGCTTGACACCCCAAACTCAAGAGGACTAAACCCCAATTCACACGCTTCCCCTCCCCCTCCCTCCAACCCTGATGCTCTTCTGGTGCTTTCTCTCTCTCTGGGATTTCCCTGGCGGTCCAGTTGTTAGGACTCGGTGCTTTCATTGGCAGCATGGCAAAAAAAAAAGGAAGGAAGGGAGGGAGGGAGGGAGGAAGGAAGGGAAGAAAAAAAAGGAAAAAGAAGGAAAAGAAAAGAAAAGGGAGATTGTTTCCCCCATTTACATGCTGTGGCCCAAGGGAGCCTTCTAAGGCACTTGGGGTCCTCCATACAGGAGCCACACGGCTCTCCCCACCCGCTCCCCTCCCCTTCACCCTCCCTGCCTGCTCCTCAGGCCAGTGGGGGTGGACCTGGACCAGGACTGTTCCCTTGAACTGAGGCAGCCATGGAAACCTGGCCCTCTGGCCCCACTGAGCCAAAACCTCCGCTGCAGGTCTCCACGCCCATTCCTAAGGAGCCGCCGAGTCTTCCCCTGCGGCTGGAACAGTTCTTAAAGACATGTAGCCCATCATCTGAGGCATCTCCTCCACTCACCGGACTCCGAGGCTAGCGCAGAGGGTCACTGCACAGTCGCTTATCCACTGAGTGCTTATTGAGCACCCGCTCTGGACCTGCCACTGAGCAAGACGGTTGGGCCACCTCAGTGAACAAACACAGTAGACACAGCCCAACAGCCATTCTCCCCGTCCTCCTTGCTAACAAAACCAGTTTTGTTCAAACCCCCTTGGAGTATTCCTAATCACTCAAAACCCATCATGGTACTTTACGCCCCTTGTCAATGCTTGATTTAACAATGGGCATTTCTAGCCAATGGAACTTAAGGGGTCAGCTACGGGGGAGCTGCTGGAAAGGTTTTCCTCACTCTCCTCAAAGGAAAATAAGGAAGAAATACCTATGTTGGCTGATGCCTGGAGCTGGGGTAGCCATCCTATGGCCTGGAGGGAAATAGGTGACACTCTGAGAAGGGCAGAGCTGAAAGATAGAAAGAACCTAAAGAACCTAGATCCTTGATGACACTGTTGGGCTTCTGAATTCACCACCCTGGATCGGCCCTGCCCCTGGTTTTCTTGTGGATTGCAGTGATAAAGGCCCTCATTGTTACTATTTGTTTTTTGAGGTATAATTGGCATATAACATTATATTATTTTCAGGAGAACAACGTAATGATTTAGTATTTGTATACACTGTGAAATGATCATAATAAGTCTAGTCAACATCTGTCACCTATACATAGTTACAAAACTTTTTCTTCTGATAAGAACTTTTTTTTTTAAATTTATTTATTTTTGGCTGTGTTGGGTCTTCGTTTCTGTGCGAGGGCCTTCACCAGTTGTGGTGAGCGGGGGCCACTCTTCATCGCGGTGCGCGGGCCTCTCACTATCGCAGCCTCTCTTGTTGCGGAGCACAGGCTCCAGACGCACAGGCTCAGTACTTGTGGCTCACGGGCCCAGGTGCTCCGCGGCATGTGGGATCTTCCCAGACCAGGGTTCGAACCCGTGTCCCCTGCATTGGCAGGCAGATTCTCAACCACTGCGCCACCAGGGGAGCCCTGATGAGAACTTTTAAGATTTACTTTCTTGGGCTTCCCTGGTGGCGCAGTGATTGAGAGTCTGCCTGCCGATGCAGGGGACACGGGTTCGTGCCCCGATCTGGGAAGATCCCACATGCCGCAGAGCGGCTGGGCCCATGAGCCATGGCCGCTGAGCCTGCGCGTCCAGAGCCTTTGTACCCTTTGACCTCCTTCACCATTTCACCCTACCCCTACCAGTCCCCCTTCCCCATCTCTAGCAACCACCAATCTGTTCTCTATATCTATGAGATTGAGGTCTTGGGGTTTTTTTAGATTCCACATATAAGAGATCATACGGTATTTGTATTTCTCTGTCTTATTTCACTTAGCATAATGCCCTCAAAGTCCATGCATGTGGTCACAAATGGCAAGTTTTCATTCTATTTTATAGCTGAATAATATTCCATTGTATATACATACCACATCTTCTTTGTCCATTCATCCTTTGATGGACACAGGTTGTTTCCATATCTTGGCTATTTTAAATAATGCTGCAAGGAACATGGGGGTGCATTTATCTTTTCGAGTTAGTGTTTTCATTTTCTTCAGATAAATATCCAAATATGGAATTGCAGAATCATGCAGTAGTTCTATTTTATTTTTTTTTGAGGAAACTCCATACTGTTTTCCATAGTGGGAGTACTATAAGCCCTCATTGTTTAAGCTGATCCTGGATGAGTTTTCTGTTACATGTAGCCAAAAGCCACCTACAAGGGTGAAGCAGGCAGTTAACACTTCCGAGCAATTGCCGGATACCAGGCACCAAATCCCAAACCTTAAGTCTTTCTCAGGACCCACACTTCCATCCTACGAGTTGGAAATGATTATGCCTATTTTACAGCTGAGGAAGCTGAGACCTAGAGATGGTGAGGAAATTCTCTGTCATACACTGAGTGACTGGTAGAGTTGGAACCAAAACCCAAGTAGTCTTCAGCTCTCTTTCCACTACACCGACAGTGGGGATGGGTCTGAGCATCACGTTCATAAGAGCTCTCCATCACAAGGACAAGGGATGTGAGCCAGGCCAGCCTAAGCTTCAGAGCACATGTACTGGTTTTCATCTCTCTCTATCTCATCTTTGCTTCTCTCTGACACCATACCCTCAGACCAGCTGCATCACTAGGCTAGAATCACAGCCATCAGCAGCCTTAGTCTCATATCCCAACAGTCAAGGGCCAAAAAGGACAAGGGTCACATTTTCCCCAGCCTGAGTTTTATTGGCCAAACTTGGGCCACATGCCCCCACTTGGGCTACTCACTGTGTAAGTCTGAACGCTGGTGCCACCTCCTGGTTCTGTGGCTTGGATGACCCAACCTCTCTATGCCTCAGTTTGCCCATCCTGAAATGAGGAAAATAATAGTACTTGCTTCACTGGGCTGCTGTGAGGATCATTCATCCATCCAAAAAATACTTAATGCATGCCAACTACATGCCAGGCAGTGTGTTAGGTGCCAGAGCCACAGGAGGGGGCAAAGAGACCCCTCCCTGCCCTCATGAAGTGTATAGTCTAGCAGGAAAGACAGATATGAAACAAACAAACGTGTGAATGAATATCTCTATTACGATGTGAAGTCTTGTATAAGAATAGACAAGAATAGAGCTCTGTGGGAGAGAAAGAAAGGGGACCTAGCTCCAATGAAACGAGGAACATTTACAGAGCCGGGCACTGGGCATGGTGTGGAGTAACCATTCAGTCCACACTGAATATAGGAACATATATATATACACGTGTGTGTGTGTGTGTGTGTGTGTGTGTGTGTGTGTGTGCGCGTGTGTATGGCTTTGTTTTTGTTTTTTTTTTTTTGGTTGCGTCAGGTCTTAGTTGCGACACGTAGAATCTTCGTTGAGGCATGAGGGATCTTTTTCGTTGCGGCACCCGGGCTTCTCTCTAGTTGTGGCGCACAGGCTCCAGGGCGCGTGGGCTCTGCAGTTTGCGGCACGCAGCCTCTCTAGTTGAGGTGCACGAGCTCAGCAGTTGCCCTGCAACATGTGGGATCTTAGTTCCCTGACCAGGGATCAAACCCACGTCCCCTGCATTGTAAGGCAGATTCTTTACCACTGGACCACCAGGGAAGTCCCCGGTTATGTTATATAGGTTTTTGCTCGGCAAAACCTCCCCACAGCGACTTCCCACGAGGAGAAGAGCTGGTGACTTGCTGCCCTGCTCTCCATCTCTGCGACCAATTATGAGCCTCCTGTGGGACGGAGAGAAAGTATGACACACGTGCTGGGACAGCAGAAGTGCGGCAGGTCCCAGGGCAACCCGTTCCTGATGGGCAACACAAACCCAGCTCTCGCCATCTCTGCTCATCGAGAATGGCAGCCCCTTCCGGGTCCAGCTGAGGTCCCAACCAGGAGGCCTGCAGAGGCCCAAGTGGCTTCTCAGGCTCCAGGGTCTCCCAAGCTCCTTCCACTGGCCCCAAGTCAAGCCCTAAATGAAGGAGTGCTGCAGAGAGATTTCCTGCGTAACAAGCCAACTTTCCACTCACCATGGCCAGGCCCTGCTATCTCCACAGCTCCTGGCCAGAGGGATGAGGGCCCTGCCCTGCCCCAAGCCACGGGGCTGTATCATCGTTTCCTGGTGACCGCCTCTGGAGGGACCATTTGCAAAACTCTTAGTGATCCAAGATGTGTCTGTGGAACACACTGTATCGCCACCAGGCCCCTCTGGGGCTCTCTTCCCATCCCTCCTGTATAGATGTGCTGTTTCTTTAGGGAAGAAGGGCTGAGAGCTGCTGGGTTGGATTAATTGCCGCAAACACTGACTCTGTTCCTGCACCCCCATTGCCACCACCCTGATCTCAGCTCAAGGCCTCATGATCCTATTCAGGACCCCAGTGTTAGCCCATCCAGTCTGCCGGCCCCCTGGCTCTCCTTTCCCACCATGGACGGCCAAAGGGGCTGCCTGGAGCACACGTCACTCCTCCACTTGCCACCTTCGATGGCGCCTGGATCTGAACAATCCAAACCAGTCCCCTTGATGTAGCCGGCAGGCCCCTGTGCTCTGGCCCCCACCTTACATTTCCAGCTGTGCCTTCTCAGCAAGCCAAATGTAACATGCAGGCTTTGCCCAGAATGTCATACACTCTTTTCATCCAAGATTTTCCCAATATGTGCCCTCCTTGTGCATTAATTTATTCATTAAATAATGAATGCCTACTATGTGCCAGCCCCTGTGCTTGGCTCTGGGATGTGATGGTGAGCCACACAGCCACTCCCCAGGAGTTCATGGTCCAGTGAGGGAGGCAGACATCACTGAAAAACCAAGAATCACCAGAGTTTATAATAATCACCCAGAGTAGTGAGAGCTGTGAAGGAACCATGTGGATGCTGAGGGATTAACAGAGAAGTGTGACGCTGCTGGGAGTCCAAGAAGGTGTCCCTGAGACAACGCTCACCCTGACACTGGATAAAGAGCAGCTGCCATGGGGACAAGGGCTTGGGGGAGGGGAGAGCTTCCAGACAAAGGCCCTGAGGCCAGAGGGACCTGCAGGCTCTGGGATCTGAGAGCCTAGGTGGCAGGTGGGCAGAGAGCGCCGAGATGGGCTGGAGAAAGAAGTGGTTACAGCCAGCCAGCCAAGAGATTGCCCTTGACCCAGAGGGCCTGGGGGAGCCCTGAGGGCTTCGAGGAACTCAAACAAGGCTCAAGCCTTCTGGACCAGGAGGGGTAAGAATGAAAACAGAAAAGCCCGGTGAGATATGATACAGGCTGGACTGACATCGCCACAGCAGAAATGCTGGGTCAAAGGGGACTTTATTTTTTAACTTTGTATTATGGAAAAATTTTCTAATATATAAATATGGAGATAACAGTATAATGAACTGCCCTGAACCCCTCATCCAGCCGCTTCAGCAATAATCAACCCAAGCTTGCTTCAGCTACACCCACCCACGCCGCTCACCCCCACTGGATTATACTGAAGCAAAACCCAGATGCCGTATATTTCACCCATAAATATTTCAGTATGTATCTCTACAAAAAAAGGACTCTTTTAAATCATAACCACATCATCACATCTAAAAAAAATTAATGATAATACAAAGGGAAAATGTTAAGGCTTGATACTTATTGCCAAACTACCATTCAGAAAAAAAGTCATCCCCCCCATCTCCTTGCACCTTTGCCAGCACTGGGTGTTAGAAGAAAGCGATTTCCACACGTGGTTCATCCTAAAACCTGAGAGCTAAACCTCCAGATTCATTTCATGAAAGGAGGAAGCTACATTAACAAGTCTGTGGAAATCTAATGCACACAGCCAGCTGATAGCCACGTGTGGACAGCAAGCAGGGGTTCTCAGGACAAGAGGTGGTTCATCCCCACGGCCCCTGCTGGCTTCCCAGGGCAGGCCTGGTGCACAGCCTTTCTCTCCCACATTTGCCAAAGTGGTCCAATGCAGCAGATTGAGAAAGGGCTTCCTTAGAAGTGAGAGGGACTTCCCTGGTGGTGCACTGGTTGAGAATCTGCCTGCCAATGCAGGGGACAAGGGTTCGAGCCCTGGTCCGGGAAGATCCCACATGCTGCGGAGCAACTAAGCCCGTGCGCCACAACTACTGAGCCTGCGCTCTAGAGCCCACGAGCCACAACTACTGAGCCCACGTGCCACAACTACTGAGCCCATGCACCGCAACTACTGAAGCCTGCGTGCCTAGAGCCTGTGCTCCACAATAAGAGAAGCCACCGCAATAAGCCCGTGCACTGCAACGAAGAGTAGCCCCCGCTCGCCACAACTAGAGAAAGCCTGCGCGCAGCAACAAAGACCCAACACAGCCAAAAAAAAAAAAAAAAAGAAGTAAGAGATTCCAGAAATGGTCAGGTCTGCCCACTGACACCTCCACCCAAGGTTTTCCTATTTGAGCTGAAACCCAGGGACTCCCCGTCTCGCCCGTCCTCAGGTTTGTTCTCCCCCCTCACAGTGAATCATTGGCCTCACGTTCACTCAAATATACAAAATATACAACCTGCACAGATGGATTTCCAGGTTCAGGGAACGGTTCTATCTTCTGCAGTGCAATGGCAGCATGCACAATTCCAGAACTCTCTGCCTAGTTCCCTGAGCTGCCTGAGCCCTGGCGTTATCCAGTCAGGGTGGACCTCCTAGTACAGCCATCTATCCTCAGCCCCCGATAGAGGCAGCTTTCCTTCTTCCATGCTCTCCATCTATTTACTGAGCCCTGCTATGTTCCAGGCATTGCGCCAAGCCTGGGAGATGCAAAGGTGAATTAGACCCAGGCCCTTCGCAGGAGGGGCTCACCATCTCCGAGAGAGACAGTCATATAAACACGGTGCAATTTGATCAGAGAGAGAGATGCATTCAAGGTGCTGTGGGAGTTCAGCCGTGGAGCAAAGAGCTCTGTCTGTGAGAAGAAGGCTTCTTGGGGAACGTATCTTTTAAGCTGGGTCTTGAATGACACTGGGGAAAGTTCCATGGGGGAACTTGCCCCATGGATCCAAAGCGAATTAATGCTCTTTGGACACGAGCAGCAGAACTAAATTACGAACGCAGAACATTGTATTTCTTTGATCCTGCAATTCCACTTCTATAATTTACCTAATAGATTTACTCACATGTGAAATGACATATGTTCAAGGCAACTTAATACAGCATTGTTTGCAAAGCAAAAGATTAGAAATAATCTAAATATCCATCAGTGTGAAGATTCATTTCCTATAGCTGCTGTAACAAAATCTACAAACTTGGTGGCTTAACTCAACAGAAATTTATTCTCCCATAGTTCTGGAGGCCAGAAGCCTGAAATTAATATCGCTGGACTGAAATCAACGCAATGGCAGGATTGTGATCCCTCCAGAGACTCTAAGAGAGAATTCTTTCCTCTCCTCTTCCAACATCTGGTGGGGTTGCTGCTGGCGTCCCTTGGTTTGTGGCCACATCACTCTGCCTCTGTGATCACCTGCCTCCTCTTCTTGGTGTCAAATCTTCAATCTCCCTCTTTACAAGGACACATGTGATCGCATTTAGGGTCCACACAGATAAGCCAGGACACTCTCCCCATCCAAGAGCCTTAATTTAATCACATCGGCAAAGTTCTTTTTTGCCATAAAAGTAATATTCACAGGTTCCAGGGCTTAGGATGTGGCTACCTTCTTGGGGGCCATTATTCAGCCAACCACCAGATGCACCCACACAATGGAATATTGTGCAGACACTAAGAAGAACGAGGCATCTCTCTGTGTACTAATGTGAAATGGACTCCAAGGTATATTTAAAAAAATTAAAATTTATATAATTTAAATATATAAAGTTTAAATAATTTTTTAAAAATTAAGTGAGAAAAGCAATGAATTCAAGGATTGTGAGTAGCTCAAAGAATCAAGAAAAG